CGAAACCCGTATACAATCTGATTCGTAGCTGGCAACCGAGAGGGACGCGTTCGTCTTCTCAAAGGGGAAATGTTTTTCAACGCATTCAGTGCCCAGTGGGTCGTTCGTGGCCTGCGATCAACTCTCCATTCTGACCATTTACCATTTTCACTATCGACCTCCTCATACATCGTAACACCGATTTTTCCTACTTATTCTATAAAAGTAGAATAAGGTGATTTTCTTATAGCACTTTGTTTCTAATAATTCAATTTCATCATTTGTGCATTTGTTGAGTTAACTTTCAATTTTGCGACAACGCAACATCATTTTTAAAGCACAAAACTGTAAAATTGAAATAAAAAATGGATAAAATGGAGAAAAATGGAGATAAAAAATTTCACGAATCGGTTGAAAAATTCCAGCTGACTCGATTTCTGGGGGACTAGATCACGGAGAAATTGCAAAATGTGTATTATTTACGGAATGATAAACCCGTGAGTTGTGTCCAGAGCATGAAGCACAGTTGGTTAAATAATTCGGAGAGCCAAAAAATTGTGAATGGTTCGTCGGAGCGTTCAACGGAGGGAGATTCGAAAGGCGCGATTCTGTGTGCTTTTTCAGCTTGAAGACCAACGACGGGTCGGGCTGCGTTCGGCAGACAAGGTTAATGAGTAAGCTTGCTACTTATGCGGGGACTGCTCGACATTCGGGTTACGGATTTGGCCTGAATTTTCTGTACAAGGCGATCCGAAACGCAGAATCGACGGTTTTCTGTGACGGTTCAAGATTAAAATAAGAAAGTGTCGGAGTGTCATGAATGAACAACTACGTAACGTCATTGGTGCACGAATTTTTGTTAGTTAATTTAAATATTCTGTTTTATATTTACTTTACAATAATTCAGTAATAAAGGTAAAAAAATAAGAACCACCAAATAATGATTGTGTGAAGAAATACGTAGAAGTTCATTTTTTTTTTTTTAAATTTAACCACTTTATTTATAATATTAGGTTATCTTTGTGGGGAATATTTTAAATTGTATTTGATGAAAGGGAATTGTATTTATTTCGTTTAAGTCGAAGGGAAATATTATTTGTGGCTACCGATGTGTACACATTATAGTAAATGTAAACGTACAATAAACATAGAATTCTTTTTCCTTTTAGGAAATTATTAACGAATCTATGAGTTATTGTACAAGTTTTTTTTTAAATTAGAAAGGCACTTTGGAATTAATTTTTTTAATAGAAATTTGAAACTAATGACATGGAAGTTACACTTTCGATCTCCATGAAAATTACTTCATAAATATGAATTTATAGTTTCATTTTAATCTACATTTTCTAAACACTCTATGCTTCTATTAAATTCTTCGATTTCTCTTTTCCTGAAGTGTTTCTCATCTAAAATGTGGAATGAAAATAAGCTCTATCTAGATTGCGTATATTTAATACAAATACAGTATATTTATGGTCTCATTATGAATACAAATTTTCACGAAAACTGCATCGATACAAATATTTCTTTACTCAGTTATAGATTCTATCAGGTTCCAAATAAAATATTACATTGTTACGAAATAAGTGACCATTTTACATTCCACAAACGCCATCACCCTATAAAAACAGTTTCTGTAAATTATCCAATTACATTGCAACAAATCATTTCTTTTCATCGACCTATTGAAAATCTCTTTAAACTTCATTAAACATTTTAGCCTACACGATTATAGACGATACTCTATAGTACAAATGCATAAGGTCCGCCAGTCGAGTAGTAAAACAAAAAAAAAAGTATGCGTCGAAAATGTGTAGATGTAAATGGAGGAACGACCGAACACAAAATTTGAACCGCACCCGATGACCCGAATGTCGTGCAGCGTACCCTCGTTAGTTAAATTCTCCACGCACGATGATTCATCCGAACCGTCTTCCTTCAATTGCCTTCACAGACTGCCTCCATTTTCTGCCAGTGGCGGACGCAACGCGCGGCGAAACTCGTTTAAAGCGTTTCTTACTTACATAATAAGTTCGAACCGCGTCGGTTTCGCGGTTCTCATTTCTCTTTCAACGATCGAGCCGATCGAACGAAAACCGCTCGAACTTTTATGCACCTCGTTTCATCGAGTTTACGTCTTCGATCGACTGAAACCACGCCTCATTTTCATTTTTACGAACCGATTGGAGAAATAGTTTCGAGGTTTTGGTCCCTGGGAAATTATTCGAGATACTTGACTGAAAGGAAACGTTATTTCTGTATTATTATTATAAAAAAAACGTAGATTTAACGGAATTATTTTAGAAAATTTATTTTATCTCATAAGTTCTAATTAAATTTGCTTTATCTGGTGTTTCACTATAAATTTGAGTTTCTAACATTGAACTGAGGACTGTGTCACCTATGTGTATGTGGACGTGGTATGGCTAGATTGCATAAGTTTATGGAAATTCACAGTTTTAAATGTTAGTACATATATGAAAGTTACAATTTGAAGGAAGTTTAAATCCTGGACTAGCGGCTTTACCCCACGGTAATAATAATACGTGAACGGTTTTAAACGTTATTGAAACGTTTATTTACGTCTTTTGCGTGTTAAATGCATAACCGTGCGCAGTCTACTAATGACAGACGAAACGATAATGGTGGCAATTAACCTTCGGTTGACGAATACTGAATCCATTTGTACTCATCTATGCATACATGTCGACCGTGTAACACAATATGTATACATATAACATATATTAGATTGAGTCACAAATATCTTACTTATTTCACAATTTACACTAATATATAATGTCCTTTGTATTATTATATGGATCAGATTTCGTTTTTTGGTTAGTCGATTAGATGAAACATTTTTTTGAAAGGATATGTTTTCTCCACCCGATAGAGGAAGTTGTAATTCAACCCAACTACAGAGTCTCTAGTCTAAATTATTCGTAACGAAGAATAATAAATTTTATTTAATTACACCTTATTTTAATACATTTACCGTAAAATGTCACACATTCGTTCAGTTTATTTTACTTTATTTTCATAATATGTATTCCTAAAGAAGGATAAATCGAGCCAGAAGATACTGCCTCATTATAATACAAATTCACCATTCCCATAATGGGTCTATCTGGATCCAATATCGCCTTTCAACCCATTATGACCCAATATTGGGTTAACGCAACATTTCATTCGCAATTTTCTTTCAGTGAATTTACATTACTGAATTCTCTTTTTCATGCTGCAGTTATAAAAGAAGATTTCAAAAATTTGCTCAATATGTTTTCAGTCGCTATTTCTTCTTGAAATTTGAAGAAATTGAAAACAGTTATATATATTTTTTATACACTTTTATAAGTAATAAATAATTATATGTATAAAAATCGCCTTGTTTCACTGACTGGCACTTAATATGGGTTAAACGATCCACCATTCGAGGGTTAATAAAAATGGCGGTCTTTTTGTCGTTGCATGAGGGATATCTTGTCCTCCATCAAATCCATTTGAAATTCGAATTGTATACAGCTGTTCGCGGATCACGCTGTGTGAAAAGTGGGTTAAAAATACGAGCCCTCGATCCCGTAAATGTAAACATTTCGTCCGCCGGTAAATCAATGCGTTATGGCACGGGTAAAAAACGTTTTGATGGAATTTTATTCCCGGGCTACTTTCTTCCGTGCGGAGCCGTAAACACGTTAACGCATCGAGGATGGACTGTTTTATTACAAAACCTGGCCGCAATAAACCCGGAATAAATTCACGTGTACGTTTCGTGATTTCTTTCGGCTGATAAGTATACACTTTAAGTCTTCTTCTTCTTTTTCTCCTTTTTTTTTAATTATCGACGTGACTCGTTGCTGATCTTTGGTGCCGTTGACTTCGAAACTCTCACGTGCACCGATAAACTCATCCGAACTGTTCGTAATGATTGCTCGTTTTCGTTTTATTCGTATGCGTGTAAAAGTTCGATTTTTAATCCTCTACGACGCCTTTTGTACGTTTATAGCATTTTAATCGACTGTTTATATAAGTAGTTGCTTTGATATGCAATTAAAAAAAGAAGAAAGTGTCTTTTGCGACATAAAATGGAAAATAAGAAGAATATGATTTTGTGGAATTAAAATTGAATACACAATTAGACTTCATAAAGTTTTAACTGAATTGTGTTTAGTTTTCTTGTTCTTTTCTCGAGTATGGGAATGTTCTTAGATTGATGGAAAATAAATGATCGACTTTCGGGTCTGTGGTATTACATTTCTGTATAATTTGCATAAGATTGCTAATCACAACAGTTTATTTTGATTATACAAAGTCCAATCTTCGTCACCTTATAAAAACAATTGAGAAAGTCTTACATATTTTAAATTTAGTACAGGGATCAAAAGCTTGACACATTCAAACGATCATATATTGTCTACATACCCAATATTTATTAAAGAATATTACACTTAAGCTTCTGTAACACAGTGTATTATTAAGGTAATAAATTAAAATAATTCACAACGAATTTAATAAATACAAATTTAACTAATATGAATATTATTATTTCTATACACTCAAATCGAAATGAAGCACCATCTTACTGTTACGAATAATTGGATTTTAGAGTAAATGTATAACAAGCGGAAGAAAATAAAAATATACAAAATACATTGAATTAAAACAGCCGTTTATATGAATCCAATTTCGATAAAATTGATATGGTTACTATGGTTACATATAAATACAAATAAGTTACAATTAAACAAACAAAAAACAGTAGACTTACATCAATTTCAATATAAACGGTTCATATGTCATTAAAAGTTATCAATACATTTAATTTGTTCTTAATTTTAGTGATCCCTAATATGCGAAGTAAATTCGTTTTTGTATCTGATTGTTCCAAAATACTGTACGAGAATGAAAATTTGCATGAACGTTCGCAGTCTAGTTACAAACTGCGTGTTGATCTACGTTCAGGATCCATCATTGATAACGATGCGACGACGGAAATTAACACTGAATATTTCTATTTGATACAGGGATTAGGATGTAATCGGACGGACGATTTCAGCACGCCGGTCAGTTCTGGCAGCAACATGGGCAGTATCGCACGGTTCCCGAAATTGGACGAGTGCGCCCACTTTCATTACGAACACGTCGAGCTCAGTTCCTTGGAGGTCAGTTGCGGATCATTAATTCATTGCGTTCTCGAACACCTGAGCCAACTGCATAAATAGTTCTTAAGAATAAAACATATGCACGAAAAACGAGACAATTTGAAAATATATATACAGGGTGTGTCACATAACTTGTCTAACTCCGAATAACTTCGAAAGTATGTCTTTTCCAAAAAATGTTTTATATAAAAGTAACATTGTATCGAAGGAACCATATGATGCTGAAACGATTTTCTTAAAATAACCTATTTGTGACCTTGAATTTCTTAAATTGAATGCGTACCTTTTTGGATCGAAATTTGAAAGATCGAACGAGGATACTGAAGACAGGTATTGGAAATTACATTTCTGACGGGTTTTTCAATTTTCTGTTATTGTATTTCTTGTTTCGTTAATTTAATTCTGGTGTGCATACTATTCACGAAGATTATCAAAACACTTATTCTAACAATTATTTTTTTTCGAATCAGTTACATGTCGTGTATCTTGTTAACAAATTTTGCGTTCACTTCGTGAATAGTTCTTAAGGGCTATTTAGATAAGTATAAAATGATTCATAGGAACAGAGGTTTCATACATTCTACAACTGTCTATGTTTTTATCTTAATTTTTTTTTTTAATGACTGGACTCTGATTCCGAAGTACGATCATCTGGTTTCGTTATGGATCAGACATTGTCCGGGTTCGTCTTGCAAGAGTTACAATCTCGATACCTTTTTATACGACCGAATAATAACTCGACAATTAATTTTTCAATATTTTTTTTTTGTATTTCGTTGAATAAGTGAAAACGGATTAGAAGTTAGTCGCGTGACACGCAACAAATAAACGATGAAAAATTATATGCTTGCAGGTTTCACTTAGCGAAGGTTCCAATGATTCCGACAGCTACGCGGTCAGAGTCACATCCGGTGATGCATGCTGGACCCTCCAACGATCTTATGATAATTTTGTTATGTTTGACAAGCAATTGCATCGCTGCATATTTGACAGGAAGTACTCCTCGTTGACCAAGCTTCCAGATACTCGGCCGAAAACCACCTGTGATATACTGAGGGACTATTTAAATCGGTTCTCACAGTTAAATCATGAAGGCCTAAATTGCGGTCCTGTGTTAAATTGGTTGCAGCTAGATAATAGAGGAAGAAGAATCCTCGTCCCAGAGTCAGATTCATGCCCCATTAACACGCCCGCGGTAGCCGCGGCTTATGCAGTTAGACCGTACGTGGCCCAGGCGCCGGATGAAATCTCGTTCCAGGTGAGCTTCCGCAACAAACTCAAGACAATAGATAAGAATTGCAGTATTCTACAGTAGCTGGGGTAGTATACTGTAGTCTAAAGTAGTCTACAATGATTTACAGTAGTTCATAATAGTCCATAGTAGTCATCAGTATTTCATAGTAGTTCACAGTAGCCCACAATAGTTCATAGCAACCCACAGTAATTCACAATAGTTCACCGTAGCCCAAAATAGTTCATAGTAGTTCATAGTACTCTATAGTAGTTTATAGTAGACTACAGCAGTCTACAGTATTCTATACTAGTCTATAGTAGTGGAGAGCATTGTATAATAGCTACAGTGGTCTACAGTATTCTGAAGTAGCTACAGTGGTATACAGTTTTCTACAGTAGCTACAGTGGTCTACAGTATTCTACAATATTCCACTGCAACTGTAGTATTCCCTTTCAATATGCACGTTTTGTCTACACCTTTATACTGACATTGACAGTTCCACCGTACCATTGTGTGACGTAGTGTAGATAATGATTTTTGTCCACTAGTTTTATTCATAAAAATGTAGGTACATACCCCTTTTTTCTCAAGTGTTGTATGTGATTCTTGCAAACAGATTTTGTCAACTGATGTCTTAGATGTATTCTCTTAAATGATTGACATTTGATTCTTTTAAATTCGTTGTTCATTAATACAAATCCTATTGGGTTACTCTTCCATTGATCTTTATTTTTGAGAAAAATGAGTACATTAGGAATGGAATAAGACATAATCTTATAGCTAGACTGGAAATTTGGTGTAAAATACATAGAAATCAAAGTTTTAACAAACGCCAATTAAATTTTGCTGTATATTTTTTTATTTAACCTCAATTGTAAAATGTACACGGTTATGAATTTCAGGTTGGAGACATGATCTCTGTAATAGACATGCCTCCATCAGGGGAAAGCACATGGTGGCGCGGAAAGCACGGTTTCGCAGTGGGATTCTTTCCAGCTGAGTGTGTGGCCGTGATAGGGGATAAGGTTCCTCGACACTTGACCGTGTCGACGACAGTCAGATCGAAGTTACCCGTGAAACCGGTGTTCAGGAAGCACGGGAAGCTGATCGCCTTTTTCAGATCGTTTATACTGAATAGACCATCTAGGAGGCGACTGAAGCAGTCGGGAATTTTGAAGGAACGCGTGTTTGGTTGTGATCTAGGGGAACATCTGTTAAATTCGGGACAAGATGGTACGTGCATCTATTTTACAAGTCCTTTGATAATAAAATCCAAGTAGCCCTTACACAAATCCCGCAGCTGTGTCTTGTGAAATACAGAAAGGGCTCGATGAATATTCACAAAATTACAAGTGATGATGATAACAAAGAAAAAATAATTCAAATAAAGAAGGGAAGACCTTGCAAGCATCTAACGAGTCCTTACTGTACATTCGTTAAATAGCCGTTACAAGCGTTTATTAATCACAATAGTAACCTCAGCAATACCCAAATTACTTTCAACATAAACGTTTTACATTAGTCTAATACTGTTTATCATTGCAGTGCCTACCGTTTTAACATGTTGCGCCGAATTCATCGAGAATCATGGGCTGGTCGACGGCATATACCGTCTGAGCGGCGTGACGTCGAACATTCAACGATTACGAAACGCGTTCGACGAGGATCGTGTTCCTGCATTGCATTCCGATGAAAGTATTTTACAGGACATCCACTCGGTGGCGTCCCTATTGAAAATGTACTTCAGAGAGCTACCGAATCCACTCTGTACATACCAGCTTTATTCTACTTTCGTTAGCGCGGTTCAGGCTAACACTGACGCGGAGAGGTTAAGGCGGATGAGGGATACCGTTAGGAAATTACCACCACCTCACTACAGGTACTTTAGAGGAAAATGTATTTACTTTCCAGACTCCCAATCAGTAAACTTTTATGATCTACCAATACATAGTGACTATATTGGAGAAAAACTCTCTGTGCATAAACAAGTATCTTGTAGAGGAGACTTTAGGGATTCTGAACACATTTGTATCCGAATTCTAAGATTACAACCCCGATCTGTCATTTGCAATAACGGCACATGTTCCTCGCCTAATTTCACATAGACTACATCACATTTGAATCACATGAGAATCCGTGAACTCGATGGAGTTCACGAACTGATTGTCCCTGAATTTAATTTCTGTTTTGTACTCTTTCGTTTGTGTACCATGTTTTAAACATGCAATACACTTAAAATTCATTCGTATTTTCAGAACTTTAGAATATCTTATGCGCCATTTAGTCAGAGTCGCAGCCCGCGGCACGGAGACCGGTATGACGCCACGGAACATCGCCATAGTTTGGGCTCCGAATCTGCTGAGGTGCAAGGAACTGGAAGTGGGCGGCGTGGCGGCGCTCCAGGGGGTCGGTGTGCAGGCGGTGGTCACGGAGTTTTTAGTTTGTTACGCGGAATTAATATTCGGGGACGGTCCGGTCGGACGGCCGAAATCGTTGGCCATTACGACACCCGCAAGATTACTAAGCCTGGAGGAGGCACGGAACCGAAGTCTGAGGGGCGAGCCGGATTACATAGAAGTGGGCGCCGGTCCAGCTGGGTTATCATTACAGTACCACACGGTCATAGAGCTGCCGCGAAAGAGAAACGGCTCGAAACGTTCGCCCTCGTTGAACTGGAGGGCTTTGTTCGGTCGGGGTGGTCTGGGTGCCAGGGGGAAACCGCGACAGGTTGGCACGCCACCTCAAACAGAAACGGTGCCAAGTTCCTTAAATTCGTTGCGACGATTGAGACCGGTGAAGAGCGCCGACAGTTTGGATGGCGAGGACAGTCTCGGTCCTCTGTTGGGACCACCACCAGCCAGACCGTGCGGACACAGTCGTTCGGTGTCGCACGACTCGTATTTCGATCATTTGGCGGACGCGCCGAACCCGACGTCGCCCTTGGACCTTTCCGAGATACAACTTAACTTCGATCTGGAGGAACGGGAAATGAGAATGTTCTCCGAGGAGGAGAGCGGAGGCGTAGCATCGGTCGAGGCATCCCCGAGACGGCAGAGACTGGAAGGGGCTCAGAACACTGCTAACACCGGTGGATCAAAGAGAAAAAGGTCGAGACTGGAGGAAAGACTGCAATGCGACGTCGAATTGCGCTTCATTGATAGCCAAAGTCCTGATCAGGTAGAGAATTATTTTAGATTTTAATTAACCAAAGAAAAGAAGTACGAAGGAGCGATGTATTGTGTAAGGAATTGTAATTATATTCACGTACAATTTCACATGGCCCTTGTAGTGGTTCAAAGATGTTATCAGTTTTTTAAACTCTTGAATCATTGTTTGTTGGAAGCATATAATATGTTGTAATATCGGTTGACGTATTAATTAATTGTTATGTACTTATAGGTGATGGTATCCGCAGACGTGCACAGTATGGACACCCCATCCTCTCTACCCACGCCAGGGTACCTTCCATTGTTATCCGAAGCATCGACGCCACTTACCCCAGCCACATTGCACGGCACCCCGCATTCTACATCACCCATCCCAGCCAACAGTCCTAGGATAAGTTTCCGAAGCTTCACATTACCGTTAGAGATCGATGACGAGCAAAGCAACGCGAACAAACTGAACAGAACTAGCGTGTCTTCCGATAAATCATCCGACCCTAGTCATAGGTTATCCATAAACTTAGAAGGGCAGAGTAACGCTAAGTCCTGCGAGAGACTAATGACGTACGAGAAACGCGTAGATTTGTACGACGAGAAAGGGTCTTCCAAGGCTCAGAAGACGTCGAAAGAGTCGAACTTAGGAGTATCAGACGTAGACCAGGAGATGGTATCTTGTGATAGGCTAGTGTCCCACTCTAGTGACATAGAATCGAATAAGAGAACGTCCCCCTGCAAGGACGCCGGGAACAGATCGAGCGCGTGTCCGACCGACGAGAGCAAATCGTCCAACAGCGACAACAGAGACGCATTGGATGTACGAAAAAATAATGCTTCGAGTAAATCTGTTGGTTCCCAGAACGACGGTAATCTGGCTGGAAATTGTAACGCACACAGAAATGAAATGCAAAGTATGCCTTTGTCGAGTGCCACTGATCTCGATTCCCCGATGTCCTACGAGCAGACCATCGATGATCTGCCAGACTCCGGCTTTGTAATCTATGATAGCTCTGACAAGATGTTCACTACAACCGAAACACCGCAGATGGCATCGACCACCAATGATTCCGGTGAATGGGTGATAGTCGAAAGAACCAGCTCTATCACAACGCCTACCAGTGATTCGAGCAGTCCCAAGGATCCTCTGGAGGGGACAGTGAATCGCGCAATAGCGACGGAAGCGCCGCAGCTGAGATCAATGTCGGAGAACGTCTCTAGGACCTCTCTGGATTTTACTATGGGCTCGACCGTGGACACCGACACGTCTTGCATCGGTGTCAGCGACTTGACTGAAAGTCCAATCCTCCCTCAGGAGTCTGGAGAGATGACCTTCGACGTTACCGATAGGGAACTCGATGAACACAATGGTACCGCTCAGAGGACATCCAGAGGCTTCGATGGTCAAGCGAATTTCGGTTTGGTCGAGTCTGGGAACAATTACTCGAATATCTCTTCGATACACGACCAGGACAACGGAAATCAGAAGATTTGCACCGTCAGTATCACGGACATCCGTTTGAATCAGAAACCCAACAACATGGAACACGAGGTATCCACGTGTTACACGCAGTTGGACAATACGAAGTCATTGAACAGAAACGATAACCCCGTGAAGGATGAAGTCCGCAGGGACGAAATGTTCGAGGACACTCAACGAACTTCGAGAAACATGGACTTCCTGCAGCAAGACGTCCGACGTTCCCTGCAGCTGCACCACAAGCCCCAGTTTACGGGCGAGCGACGTTCATTCTCGAGCCAATCGAACAGGAAGGATCTCGATCTATCTCTCACCGACAATAACAAACAACGTTGCCCGAATCAGAAGCCGGAAAAGTGCCAAAGCTTCGAGTACGTCTCACCAAAGGAATCAGCTCAGAACAGTCAACAGCACAAACAGTATCAACACGCCGACGAGAATTCGAAATGCAACAGTCTGAAGAGTACCCAGCCGCGGGAGCATATCGAGGTAATACCGTCGGAGAACGCTACGGAGCCCAGTGAAATAGCACACTCGCCCGAGGGTGCATCCGAGACCACGTCCTTGAACTCGTCCTGTACCTTCTCCAATGCGTCCTCCCCAGTGGATGATTCCATAGTCCTTCGAGACACCGCCGCGATACTACAGGAACTAGCGTTACAGAGATTGTCCGGTGGAATGGTGGGCAGTGACCTGTCCGTTTCAACAAGAAGAAGATTCGACACGGAGAGCAGCAAGGATAGAAGAAGCTTCGATTCGGAGATAGGAAGGGAAATTGTCAGGGAGCGCAAGATGAGGCAGGAACTGGACACTGCTAGGGGAAAGTCAGAGGAACCTCCGGTAAATACTCCGCATCTGCCGCCATGTTTGAGGGCGCGTCACGCAAGGGCCACCAGGGCGTCTTTGAGTCGATCGTTAGATGAAGCCAAGTTCAATAAAATGACCGAGGCAGCTTCGCTGCCTGTAAAGCAAGCCTGCGAGGACTCGCAGCACAGTTCCACGCCCAATGTTGGGACTGCGTCGAACGCGTCGAATAACTCCGATAAGATTAACCTGAAGAATCTCGGCGGCTTGGACCTGGGTGATCCCCAATGCAGAGAGAGAATAGAAAAGTACAAAGAGGAGAGGAGGACGTTCTTGAGGGACAAGTACAGGTCCGAAAGCTTCCGGGGAATATTGTCGAAGACGGAGGACGACGGGGAGCAAGCGCTTTTAGCTAGGTTAAAGCAGAGAGCGTCTAGGCCCTCCCTTCATTGATATTAACGGTAATATTTATGAAACGGTCGAATGTCCCCGCATGAATGCCTCTGTCGCGGTCGCACGTTTGAAGTATTCGGATGAGTAGAGTGATGCTGGTGAGTTTGCACTGATCGCGTTTAATCCTTTGCACTCAGAATTTAGTTTGACCACGATTGACCTTGGGTTCGTTTCGTTGTGGTAGATTTTTCAGTATTATCTGTTCGGAGGTGAATCTCTTTATTAAGGAATGTAAGAAAGTAGAAAGGGAAATGAATAAATGGAAAGACCATTCGTGGTGTCCTGTTCGAGCAAGTGATAATTCAACACTTAAAAATGTGAAAAGAATGTTAAAAAGAAATTTATCTTTTAAAATAACTCAAATATGAAGTTTATGGATTTCAGTGTAAGTTGCTTTCTGTTTTATTGTTTTACTTAAAAAGATTGGCTTTGATTGATCGAAGATGTAGAGGAACTGTTGAATCCAATTCAGGTGGATGTTTATGGTCAGTTTTTTTGTTTACTGACAATCACACCAGATCCAATTTTACTTGCAGGTACTCAATGTCACTCTTTACGTTTATAAGTATGCCCTAACGTATAGACTCTTGAGTGATGGTAATAAAAAACTTTAACAGGGATAAATCAGAACTACAAGATCTTCTGATACTTTCACTTATTTAAAGACTTTTATGATGTTTAACTACAAATGACTGCCACCACCTTCATGGTAAACTTTTTTCTTCGAACGAATTAAATAGAGTCTTATATTGAAATCCCTTTAATCAAAACTAACAATTATTAACATCTTTCATTCAAAAGAACCTACAAAAAACGTTATTTTGCGTTTTAGACATTTCTTAATTATACTTGTTAATTGCGTTTCAAAGAACAAATAATTATGAAACTTTTTAAGGATATTACAGTTATATATTTAAAAAACAAAGATATTAAATTTGTTGCCATTTTTCTAAGGAAACGTTATCACCTGCGTCTAGTGCTATGTACGATTTCGTTTTACGATTTGAAGACTCCCAGAACGTATGCATTTACTTATCGTATATTATTAAAAAAAAGTTAAGAGTGCAAAAGGTTAAAGCATGAAAACAGAGCGCAGTTGATCAATCGCAAGGTGTTATAAGGATATTAAAAAGAACGAAAAAGAAACGAACAAACTGAAATCGATTGCGAGAGAACGTTCGTTCTATCGCTGTTGTTAACAGAACAGTCCGATAGCTTGAATGTTCTTAATTTATTATCTAATGTGTACATATAATCCGAGTTCTATGTACGAATAAGGCTATTTTCTGTTATTGTTATCGAATCTATAACGAATGATCTTTTTTTTTTCCGTTGCTGTTATTGCTCCCAAAGATATTCCCCTTCTGCCCCCATTAGATTTTTTATGTTCGTCGGCGCTGTTCTGTTATCGACCGGTTTTCGATCGATCCCATAACGCACCATTATACGAGCCGTGGGTCCACACGAAAACGGAGTTCGTTCGCGAGAAGAAACCCTTTGCACGCGAGATTCCCTTTCTTTCGTCCGCCATTTTGGTGAACTTGTTTTTTCGAAATGTTATTTACGAGGTTAAGTTTATAAACGAACAAATTTATATAATACTCTGTAACGTTTAAAAAAGAAGAAACAATGAATTGTCTTCGAATATGCGTGCATGATGATTGAGTGTGTATAAGATAGAGCGAGAGAGGAAGAGAGAGATTTATATATACATATATATATATAATATATAGTTTATGATATTGTAATGCGTTCTCGTTTTTCTATACGTCGTACTGTTTGCTCGAAGAAATGTTACGCCACGTCGACTATAAAACTAGAAAAGGTCTATGAATCTGTTCGTTCGATTTGGTCCCGAAATCTACCGAGTGCAAAGGGTTCGAAATAGATTTCAGCCACGCATGCCTTCTTAAAAAGTATAATCAATTTTATTGATTGTAATTAGACTGCGGATGTCTATGCACATATTCATTCTTTGTGGACATTAGAATTAATGAACGTCAACTGACAGAAACTATTAAGTTATGTAATAAATATCGTTTTCTAAACTGCTCCATTGCGGCCGTCTTGAAATCAGTTAAAGTGAAAGTTCAGTGAAAGTATGTCGATTCGGGTGGATTTTACTCCAATTAAAACTCTTCATTTTAACCCTGGTACGACTTTCAGTGCAGATATACATTTCAAATTGATCAACTTTTTTAACTTACTGAAAAATGTTTCAGCGATAGTTTTACACTTTGTAGAGTGTTGACGAAAAATCTTGTTGTCAGTAGATTACATTATTTATTGGTTATTTTCTGGATAACGGTATTTTCTTTACACTCGAATGTTATTAATCTTGTTATAGAGAAATATTTACAATTTGATGATCTTATAATGATTATAATAATCTTGTGTCACTAACATCGCTGGCCACACAAATATCAGTGTAATAATTGTTGTTGTAAAGTTTCTCGGTAATTTTGTATCCTTTGAATTAGTAATAAGAAAGGTCAGTAACAATTTCCTTACATTTTTAATGAGGCGAATTTAAAATTCAAACGGACAAAATTAAGAAATGAAAACGTGATTAGGTCGACAGGTACCCTAAGGCCATTGCAAGATTAAAGATTATGTTGAAACTTTGGTATTCGAAATCGATATTTATTATACAACGACCTAATAGAGTCAAATGTACATTTATCTCTTTCGCTATGGGTTCCATTAGGATGTAAACAAAATACTATCAAATTATTTACTGTACCGATTCTTAGACGATCATGTACGCTGTAAATGCATAAAATCCGCAGGCTGATTATAATCGGGTGATAGTTTGAGTGAAAGTGTAAATCGAGACGCTTCCGTTCTCACCTGTAAAATTTCGTTGTTGCTCGTCAAACTGAAAATTTATTTTAAACGACCAGCCGTTGACTATGCAAAATTTGTTCGATCAAAACGCGAAATTTTCTCGATTCATCAATTATTTTTTGACCCGATCGTTCGAAATTTTTTATCTTTATTAGCCGCACTTTTTCGGCCCCTCCCGGTTTTCTCGATTTTGTACGTGTTTCACGCGTTTCCTCTATTTTTCACGCCGACCCGCTTGTCCACAGCTATGATGTAACGCACGTAGTTAGAAATTTTTTTTATTTTTAAATATGTTACACCCGTTTATAGCGATTAATATCGAGAATGATAGAATACTCGTTACTATTCGTGTTCAGTTCTTCTTTCACGTTTACATATTACTCTCGTTTCTTCTTTTTTTTTTTATTATCGCCTCTTTTTTATTGTAAGAACTCACGACGAGTTTTTCGATGCGCACGATTCTCGACACCGATTGCAAAAAGTTTTTTTGTTCCTTACCCTCGTCCCTCCCAATCATTGTTTCGTTTTTTGTAATTCACACCGCATTAAACTAAGTATTTGATTGTAAACCACGCGTCGAATCGACTTTTCTTTCTCGCCGTTGGACCGAGTTCGCGACGATCTATTCACACGTTATTTGTATATGCTAATTATTATTTAGTCGATATGTAATATATTAATTTATGTACTCTAGTGTTTGAGTATATTCAAGGAGAAGAGAAAACCTTGCTTAAAATCAAGATTACTGCCGGGAAAACGATTGATCGTCACGATCACTTTTGTTAGTCACTTCAAAGAAATCCCACGATAGAAGAAGGAATAACAAAAACCGTGCACGAAATGCTGTCTTGTTTTGTAGATTTTTATCACATTCTTATTGTTGTTATATTTTGCATAATTTTGTTTATCCGAACTACTTTGTTCTACATTCTGTTGCGAATCTTATTTTTAGATCCCGTTTTTTGCGAATTAGCGACGTGGACTGCTGTAAAGACACAATGCCCGATCACCAGCGAGATATAGTCGCCAAATTTGACCAAGTTCGTGTTCCAAGAACTGGAACACAAGAGGAAGAGGGATAGTTCGAAGCTAGTTCGTTCCTTTTCCATGATCACGGTTTCCAATTTGATCCTCGCGAAACGCGACACATAATCAAAAACGAAAAAAGGAGCCACCGGACCTCTGTGATAGCATCCATTCAGAGCCTCATTAACGTACCAATTAACGATATTTGTCTGGTCTGATAGAGCTCCAGGCGTGTGTAACTGTACATTTCGATCTCTGGACGAATCAAAGCACGGAATTATAGAGGGGATCGTCCGTTTGTAATCTTGAAAATGCTCAAAAACGATCAAAGTCAAGCATGATACTTCACCGGCCACATCACACGAATTCTATGTACCGGGTGATCTGAAGATAGGATCGAGGAACTGCAGGATTGTGACGGTATTCAAAGAAACGTATAAACAATTTTGATGAAGTATTAGGTGGACGAATAAGTAATTTGTTAGTTTTTTAGAATTTAAAACAGGTTCGCCACATGTTGATACACAGTGACGTATAATGTGGAAAATAGTAGGGAATAGTTTGAAACGTTTGGAAGTTACTGTTCTCAGTGAATATAAATACTGATATAGCAAAGTATTGCAGATTACTTGCTGGTACACCTAATAGTTCCTTTAGGTGATGAAAATATTTTATTCGATGGATTTAAAATGTCTGCAGAAACAGATGAAGAATTGATAAGAGGGTTGGATGTGATTATAGTCAGAGTGAAAGTAGTTAATCGTTCAAGGCCATTCCCCCACTGTCAAGTGAGCCTTCAGAAAACGAAACTGATCAACACCAGTTTCTGCAAACTTCTCAATTTGAGTATCTTTTATATGGTTGGTTTTTTAATATTGTTAATGTTGATACTTTTTATTGTCTTGATTCGATCAGCTTGATTTCTGAGAGGCTCAAATATGATGAATAAGGTCTTGCTTTAATCTAGCTTAATACTGATCATAATCTTGCTTGTGTCTAGCTTATTTCTCTGAGATACAGAGAAGACATGAAAGTGTCCAAGTATTGTAGTGGGGGTGGGTCTTCGACGGCTAACTAATTATATCAAATTATAGCGATGATCTATCTTCTCAGTACAACATTTCGGA